GTGGGGATAGATTTCCTTGGAGGAGGCGAATTGGGAAATTGTTTTTTCTGTTTTGCTTTCGTCGGCGTTAAGCGCTTTAATTTTTCCTTGCAGTCCGCCAGTACTTTCATCCTCAATTATAATTTCAAACGAAGGCCTGAGCCCCAAGTCCAACAAGGGGAACCCTCCTGCAGACTTCACAGAGTCCCTAACTCCTGACATCTCTAGCTCCAGCCCCCACGCGGAGGATAATCACGCAGGCCTCGGGGAGCCCAAGAGCTGGACAGCCACTCGGAGGCCTGGGCCCGTGCGCCCCCGCGCCCCGGCGCCCCGGCTCTCCCCGCGCCCCGGCTTCCCCCGCGCCCGGCGTCCCGCGGCCCCGCCGGCCCCGCGCGCCGCCGCCCCGCGCCGACTTCCGCTTCCCCGGCGCCCGCCGCGCGGAGCCAGCCCCGGCCGCAGGGGCGCTCACGAGCCCGCCGGCCGCCCGCGAGGGCACTCCCGCGCGGAGGCGGGGCGGAGGGCGGCCCGAGCCCGCCGCGGGTGTTAAGCGGCCTGCCCCACCGCGCCGAGAGCCTGGAGCTGGCGGGCGGCGGAGCCGGAGCAGGACGCGGCCGCGCGCGTGCGGTGAGCGCAGCCGCGGCCCGGCGATCGCGGGCTGCCGGGGCGCGCGGGGAGGGCGGAGCGGGCAGCGGCCTCGGCGCCCGGGCGGCGTGACCTTCCAGAACGGCCCGGCCGGGGCGGGGGGCCGCGCGGTCCGCGCACGTGCGGAGGCGTCACGGGCGCTCCTCTCCGGGCGCTGCCCCGGCGCGCGCAGGACGCTCGGCCTCCGCGGCCTCCCTCCCGCAGCGGTCACCTGCTGGAAGGTGTTCCCTTCCTGTGCCCCTGCGTAGTGCCCACTGGCCTGCGGGCGCCGCCGGTGCCCGTGCGCCGGGGAGGGCGAGGCGCTTCTGAATGGAGACTCCTGCAGGTTGCTGGGGCACGCTCGGCCGGCGTTGCCAGCCGGGAGGAGAAAGTTGGAGACGGTCGCCGTGAGCTGTGTCTGGTGCGCACCAGCATCCCGAGGCCCCGGAGGCGGAGCGCTCAGCCAGCTGCTCAGCGGCAGGAGGGGCTGGTTTGCATCCAGTGTCCTTACGTCCCGGCTCTGGTAACTTCTGCACCGCCAGCCTTAGCCTGAAGCGGAAATCTTCCGGTTGCTTCGTCTGTGTTATCTTGGTGGAGAGAGCGACTCACAGGAGTCTCCCTTACGAGAAAGATGTATAGTTGGCGCTGCTTGTCCCATGTCAGTTTTAACTCCTGCTGATGAGTCTCACCTCCCGCAAGCCCTACGTCCTCTTCAAGCCAACGCTTCGTATAGTTTGAATTAGTTGCCCACACCGGATTTCATCTTAATGATGCAGAAGTAGTTTTTTGTAGGATATGATGTGTTTAAGCTGGGCTTACCTAAAGGGGTTAAATTCACATGGATGACACGATACTCTCTGCCCTACTTTTTTTTTCTTCTAAGGAGATGTCCACACCAGGAGAAACTAGAGCACAGAAAGGTCACATTGGAAAGTGCCCTGTGTGACTCCTGTCCTTGTGTGTGTGTCAACGTTTCCCCTCTAAAATGCAAGGCTGGGTGTTTTTTTTTTCCCATCATGTTGGATGGAATACTCTGGAGTTATTGGTGGGAGGCACAGAACCCAAGACAAGGCTTGAATTGAATCCTTTCTTTGCTACTGACTAACTCTCTGACCTTCTTTCCATCAGGAGAAGGAGATTGAATTATGACCCCAATGTCTTTCTCTCTGATACTGGGTGGCCACCACCTTATCAACTGTAGTAACCAATGTACCTCTCCAGTCCTATCAGTAACCTAAAATCAGGGCCTAAGTTAGTTGTTTTATTAAGCATTATGCTTCTGTTATCGCTGGTCTTAAAAAGATTTTAAATCTTTTTGTAAACAGAGGAAGATTCTTGGTGTCTGATCATTGACAGAAGGCTTGCAGTGGTTAAAAAACTTCCTGGAGGCGAAAATCATTTTCTACTGATCTGTAAGGTGACATTAGCTTTCATCTGTGATCCTGGGGGCCAGCCCCTCCTCTGAGAGGTGGCATGACTGGGATCACACAGATCTGCAGCGTGATGAGGGATAAAAATTGTTCCTTGTTACAGCCAAGTCATGCAGTTTGAAAACCATAAAGAATTGATTGCTGAGTTGGTTATTTTAGTCTTTTCTGTTAACAAGTCACTTTTTCTTTCTCTAGTCAGTATTATTGCCTCAGCAATAGTTAATTTTTGTCTAAACACTGAGGAGTAGACACTAGTTTTCCCAAACTTATTAGGCCCCAGCCTAAACAGATTGAGTCAAGATTTCAAAGCAAGAGACAGACATCTGGTTGTTTGAATATTGAAGAAGTGCCCCATGTGATTCTCACGAAGCAGATTTGGGACGCAGTGCACCAGGTGTTACTTCTCAGCGCATGCTTGGTGATCTCGTTGGAGGCCTTATCTGGGAGCAGGTCCAGAAAAGCAGTATCTTTAATCCCACCTGAACCCTTTCTATCAGAACCTGCATTTTAACAAGGTTCTCAGGTGATGCGTGTGCACATTTATGACTGAGAAGCCGTGGCGGGGACCGCGGAGACAGCAATGTTTGGAGCTGTGCTGTGTAGTTATTCTGAGACCATGTTTCCTAGTTCATCATCACATCAGTTCTATCAGGCCATCTGTAATTGCCTTTGTATTATAACACTCTTAGGATTCACCTTGTACACCTTGTTCAGTGACCCCCAACCTTAGGTGCCCCAGGAGCCGCCTTGGCAGCAGAGTAGCATTCAGAAGTAGGCCTGGGTCACCGCCAGAGTGCCTAATCTGTGTGTTCCTTTCTGGGCCTATTGTTTTGTGACCTCCTTTTAGGAACTCAGCAAAGGCTGCTCTCTGAATTTAGAACTGAACTTAATGGACTGATAGTGCAGTGTAGACTTCCGAAAAACTAGTTGGAAGTGGCTAGGGATGTTTGCAGTTGCCTCACTTATTTGGCAGTCTTTCCTAAGGTTTTCAAAAAGGTCGCCTGAAATGCCTCCTCCCACTCCCTCCACCAATGGCTGTAGCATTAATGTTGAAGGAAGGTTTTTGTTCTGCGAGCTCTTTATGGGGGAGGAGGTGGGCAGGGAGGAGAGGCGTATTGCTCACTAAGCTGCGTGGACACTGGGCCCTTCCTCTGGAGCAACACAGAGCCAATTTCTCACTTCCAGAAGTGTAGGTACAGTAACTAGGCTGCAGCCTTCAGAAAGGGAGGCTGCAAGGGTCAAGCTGATGGTCAATTCTTGCCTCCTTCCGCCCAGGGATATGAGGTGCCCATCATAAGCTCCAGAGAGTCGCCTTCCCCGGAGCCCAGCAGAGAAGTGGGGGAAACATGAAGTCCAACCCTGCCATCCAAGCTGCCATCGACCTCACTGCAGGGGCCGCAGGTAATCCCCAAGAAAACCCCGTCCTCTCCTCCTCACCTGCCTTCTACAAGGAAGGTTAAGTGAAAGAGGGTTAAAATATTACCTTTGACATCCCACATATGCTTTAACCTTGGAACACATTTCATCAAAGTGTAATGAGTTCCAAGCACGGCAGAGTAGTCCCCATTTTTTTAAGACATAATGAGTCAGTGCACAATGTGGAAATGTCCCCTGTCTATAGCTGGAAATCTCAGCTTGAGCTGCAGTCACTTGTCACATGGCTGAGATGTGCAGGTGATGTGGGTGCCATTCCAAGCCTGGCAGGCTTCAGACCCCTTAGAGTGCAGAAATACAACACTGTCTCTGCAGGGAGATCTTAGTTACTGCCTGGGAAAGAAAAAAAAAGACATTCCTTGGAAATGCCTTTAGTCATGTGACACACATTGGACTGTCTTCAAGCCCTGCAAGGAAAGGCGAGCTCTTAGGACTTGCCAGGATGTGCAGGCTCACCTGAGTCGAGGGGTCAATTCCAGGGAAGACTGAGGCCCCACTCAGCACAAGTAGGTGCTCCCGGCAGTGCTTATAACATGCAGACTGCTTTTAAGACAGATCTCCTGTCCGTGGTCTGAATAAGAAGTGCATGGTGGAAGTGTCTAGATACCTGTATTTAAGGGCATGCGGAGTGCTGGAATGCTCATTTTTTCCAGAAGAAAACCCTCTTCTACTTTCCTACATGGACTTTTAAATCACTGCAGCTCCCTGGAGGGGAGAGGCCAAAGGGTGGGCCGCCCACTGTCCTGTTATCCACTGGAATCTCCTGGTCAACACATTAAATACAGTCAGAGGGCCACCTCCTGTCATCCTGCCCTTCTCTTAATTGTGAAAAAAGAAGTCATAGATAGAGAACAAAGTATTTTTCCTTGAGCCAAAGGTCGGCCACAGTCAGCTAATGAGGGCTCCTAGCTGCTGTACTTTACAGCCCCGCCTGATAAGCCCTGAGGAGGCGGGCCCTGGCTCCTGGATTAGAGACCACAGGAGTGTCCTGCCCAGGAGTCAGGGAAACCAAGGGCCCCCTGGCTTCCTCCCTGGTGCCTCTTGCCGGCTGGGTGCCTTTGGGTCAGCCCCTTGCCCTGCTGTGGACTCGTGCTGTACCCCCAGGCCTACTGCACTGTCGCCCTCATGCACTCTGGAAACACTGACACAGCTCCAGCAGAGCCATTTGTGGGCTCTGGCATCCTCTTGCTGCCTGTGAACATTCTGGGCTCAGTTTTTGTGCCTGCAGTGGGAGAACATTGAACCACATGAGGGCCCCTCGGCCTTCGGAATTGTATATCCTTCAGCCAGTCTATGGAAGATGTAGGATCTATTGTGATAGAATTAGAATCATTCCCTTTCCCTAAAAAGGCCCTTATGTGTGGGCGGGTATTTGGGCACCATATATATAATGTACAGTGAATTTTAAAGCTACAAATTGCAATAGTCTTGCGGGAAATCTGGTGTGTGAGGCATTTGCTGGTGCTGTCTTGCCACATTAACATGTGCTGGGCCCTTGTCATTTCCCTGGTAACCCTCTGGGAAACAGCTGGCAGGTGTTTTGTTCCTATGGGGATAACAAGGGGTCACCTTCCACTGATGTAGCACTGCTGTGGGCCATCTCTCTCTGAAGACCACGGACTCCTTTGCAGGAGTGGCCTGAGCCTGGTGAAGGGCTCCTTGGGGACTGGACAGAGGAGGTTCCTGTTAGTGACCCAAGAACTCCCTCTGTTGGGAGGCACATGGAACACAAGCCAAGCTTTGGAGGGGTCTCAGTCTTCAAATGATGGTACTAGTAGGGCCTTAGAGAGCGCTGGTCTGATGCTCATTGTATACACAGAAAAGAGACTGGAGAGAGACAGTGGACTTTCAAGTTACACAGCGAGTTGGTGTAAAGACAGGGCTGGGTTGCTTGGCTCCTGTCTAGTTCTGTAGTTGTCTTGTTTTATTACTACAAAATCCCTAGGGGTGAGGCTGGGTTTGGAGCCCTCACCACCTAGCTCTCTGCAAAGGGAAATGGTTACAGTAGAGGATTTTTCACTAGGAGCAGAGGACCCCTACCCTGAGTGTGATTAGTGTGTACTGGAGCGAGCCATGGTCAGAGGAGCATGGATGGAGCACATGTGTGTTCTTCTGTCCCCCCTTTCTTTTGAAGTAGCTCCTCCAGCAAACAGGCTTCAGAAGGCTCCTCTGCAATCAGTGCTGCGGAGTGGTCACTGTCTCTCAGCACTGATGTAGGGGAGATTCCAGGAAGGGAGGGAACACCCCAGGCTGCAGGGTTGAAGGTGGACTATGAAGCCACATGATTCTCTTGATTCTCAAACATTCTCAAAAGTTCAACTGGGGCCTCCCCGGTGACGCAGCAGCTGAGCGCTGGGTTGCGAAGCTGCCCACAACTCTGCAGCACCGGTTCGATCCCCAGCCGTGGGGTGAGGGTCCCACATGGCGCAGACCTCTCCTGCCGCCCGCTGCTCCCCTCAGCAGTGTACCTCGGTCCTTCTGCCTGCTCTGCTCCCCGCTCTGGCTCTGGTGAATTCTCTCACCCTCCCGCGCTTCTGACTGTACCCAGTGCTTGTATAAATAAATAAATAAATCTTTAAAAAAAAAAAGTTCAACTGTACTTTAAGATGTAGTAACTCAGGGGGCCTCCCTCGTGGGGCAGGGGTTAAAGTCTCAGTGCTATCAAGCTATCGCCAGCTATCGCCAGCTACTGCGGCATGAGTTCGATCCCAGCCAGGGAGCTGCTCCCCTCAGCAGTGTATTCTGGTAGAGCTGCCTGTTCTGCTCCTCACTCTGTCTCTGGTGAATCCTCTCACCCCCCACACCTCTGGCCTACACCCTAGTTCTATGCATAAATAAAAATAAATCGGGCCTCCCTGGTGGCACAGTGGTTGAGTGCTGGGCTGCGAAGCTGCCCGCAGCCTCTGCAGCGCCAGTTCGATCCCCGGCCACAGGGCGAGGGTCCCACATGGCGTGCAGACCTCTCCTGCCGCCCACTGCTCCCCTCAGCAGTGTACTTCATCACTCTGCCTGTTCTACTCATCACTCTCTGGCTCTGGTGAATTCTCTCACCCTCCCACGCCTCTGACTGTACCCAGTGTTTGTATAAATAAATAAATAAATCTTTAAAAAAATAAAAATAAAAATAAATCTTAAAAAAAAGAAATGTAGTAACTCAACTATGAAATGAAGTACTCCTTAGTTTTATTGCTCCGTTGCAGTATACTTAGCTTAACTAGTGTGGGAGTTTAGATCATTGAAATTTATTCTCTCACACGCCAGGATCAAAAACGAACAGAAAGCATTTTTTAGTTGGAATACTTGAAAATTGATGTGCCTCTCCCAGCTGTTAAGTGAACAGTGACCACCTCCATAGGGCTTGGAGAGTCTTACCTCTGTGGGTGGGCCAGGGTGGACCCCAGCCTACTGGGTAAACCCACCCTTCCTTGTGAGTTCTGCCTTTCCAGCCTACACCATCCCTGCCCCACAGGCTTCCTCCATTCCTTGTCATTGGCTTGGTTAAGCACTGAAAATCCACAGCACACTTGGTCAAGTGCAGGGTGCAACATGGTCTGAATGTTCTTGTGCTGAATAACACACAGCCAAGGGAGCACCCCTCAGAGGGATGTGGAGGAGGCTTCATTTGTCTCTTCCAGAGACCTCAGACCAGAGACCTGAGATTGAAGTGAGCAGAGTATTTAATCCACAGTTTCCTGGCTTTGATGGGGCCTGAGGACCTGCTGGCTGAGCCCCACAGTCAGCGCCACGGGAAGGCCACAGAGAGTATGTGGTAAATTACATGGGAAATTAGTTCCCCTCCATGGACTAAAGGGGAATAGTAGCTAGCACTTGAAAATTAGTTTCCTATCTTCTCGCTATTGGACATGTAACTGTTACAAATATGCTTATTATAACCTATGAAGCCTGAACTGCTCAGGGTGAGTGATTTGGTTAAACTTTGGAAACAGTTGAAATAACAATGCTCTGAATTAAATGCTTTATTGGGTCCATCTGTATCTAGGTTAACTAAATTATGTACCACCTATAAAAATTCTACCATCACCTGTTTTGGAATAATCAATTTTTTAATAACTAGGATATTACTTTATTCTAGTCCATCAGTACCAGGGAGAGTGAGTGTAACTCTTAATTATAGAAACATCTTATTAAATGATATCCCAATCATTCAGAATCAGGTCTCATTTGGCCAGCAAAGCAGAGATGAGTCATGACTCTTCAGGAAAAATGGACAGTAGTGATAGGATCCCAGAGATTGTACCTGTGGTTGCTTAAAAGAAGACACCAAACAGTTTTTGGTAATGTCTCTTTAATGCATGAAAGAGCTGGGGTACAGGCCAGAGATGTGGGGGGTGGGGGTGTGTGAGAGGATCCACCAGAGACAGAGTGGGGAACAGAACAGGCAGACTGACTGAAATACACTGCTAAGGGGAGCAGCGGGCAAGACAGGAGAGGTCTGCCTTGCCATGTGGGTTTCTCCCTGGCCAGCCGGGGATCAAACTTGTGCTGCAGAGGCTGCAGATTGCTTCATAGTGTGGTGCTTAGCCCCTTGCACCACCAGGGAGGCCCTATGTGCCCATAATTAAATGACAATTTTTTTTTTAAAGATTTATTTATTTATTTATTCATACAAACACTGGGTACAGTCAGAAGCGCAGGAGGGTGAGAGAATTCACCAGAGAGAGTGGGGAGCAGAGCAGGCAGAAGGACCGAAGTACACTGCTGAGGGGAGCAGCGGGCGGCAGGAGAGGTCTGCGCGCCATGTGGGACCCTCCTCTGGTGGCCGGGGAGCAGCCGGGGATCGAACTGGCGCCGCAGAGGCCGCGGGCAGCTTTGCAACCCAGAGCTCAACCGCTGCGACACCAGGGAGGCCCTAAATGAGAATTTTTATCAGCCCTTCTCTACTTTCTACAACTTAGTTGGAGTAACTCTGTATATTAGGGTCTAATGTCAGCTTTGGAATTGCATTCTTAAGTATTTTTTTTTAAAGATTATTTATTTATACAAGAGCTAGGGTACAGGTCAGAAGCGCAGGAGGGTGAGAGAATTCACCAGAGCCAGAGCGGGGAGCAGAACAGGCAGACGGACCGAAGACACTGCTGAGGGGAGTAGCGGGTGAGGCAGGAGAGGTCTGTGCACCATGTGGGGTTCTCCCTGGCCCGTGGGAAATCAAACTGGCGCTGCAGAGGCTGCAGACAGCTTCGCAGCGCGGCACTCAACCGCTGTGCCACCGGGGAGGCCCTTAAGTATTGTTTTGATGAGGCTTTAATAACTTCATTCAATGTGTGTTTCCTGAACAGGCAGGAGACAGTCGTCTCAGGCCTATGGGAAGCATTCACTAGGGGCAGTTTCAGCCCAGGGCTTGGGATGGTACAGGATGGTTCTAGCTCAGCCTTTTCTCTGGATCTGGAATGTTTATTGAAGTATTCTCATGTAATTTAAATTTTGCTGTATTGAATACTCACTCCTACTACAGTATAATAGCATATAAATACAGGGTTTATGCTAAGCAAAGGTAAGTTTCAGTCTGTTCCCTACTTGAATGCAACTCATTTATCGATAGGGTCCAGATGAGAGGTTTTTCCATAGGGTCAGATATTAACTCTTCAGGGACTAATTAGCCCGGCTCTGTTTTCTCTTTCTGTTGCCTGTTCCTGTATTAGTTCTCTGACTGTCACCAGCACCACTGGGCATCAGGCAGGGAGGGCTGAAGCACTCTTCTAGAACCCTCTCCTCACTTTCGTGTGGCTTCTAACATGTACAATCACTGCTGTTACTGACCACTTATGCAGCAGGCACTATGTTAAACCTTCTTATCCATTTTTGCTTAGTCCTCATGCTAACCCGCTGAGCTGGGCATGGAAGAGGAACTGAGGTTTAGAAGTTGCATCACTTCTCCACAGTGTCACAGAAGCGCCAGGCTCCACGCCTGGGTCCCTTGGGCTCCATTGCTAATCCTCCACACACATTTGCATCCTGTGGCTCTGATTGTTGAACACAGATCTGTCTCCCTAAAACATCTTCAGGAAGGACTGGGTGCTGGGCACATTTGGGGGACCCTACCAGTTGTTCAGACTTGGCTGGAAGACTTGGGGGATACAGTCAAAATGAACTGCCGCGGAGGGAGGCTTGGGTGAGTGGCCCCTTCCTCATGTTCATGGCTGACCACAGCTGCACTCAGACACAGCTGCAGGCTGAGCTGGACCACACTCCTTCCTGCTTGCAGGGGGCACAGCATGCGTGCTGACCGGGCAGCCCTTCGACACGATGAAAGTGAAGATGCAGACATTCCCCGATCTGTACCGTGGGCTCACTGACTGCTGCCTGAAGACCTACTCCCAGGTGGGCTTCCGAGGCTTCTACAAGGGTACCAGCCCGGCGCTGATCGCCATATTGCCAGAAACTCTGTCCTCTTCATGTGCTACGGCTTCTGCCAGCAGGTGGTGCGGAAAGTGGTTGGATTGGACAAGCAGGCCAAACTGAGAGGCGAGGACACCACACTTCC